CCTAAATTTTGTAGGAAATTATTAATTAGGAAACCCATTTTTGTTTTTTATAAAATTTTTATAAATTTTGGAACCTGATTTTTTAATGAATATTTTTTCAACGGCTACTTAACACAAATGAGTGCAAATTTCTGAGCTTCCAATGACGATTTTTGTAATATTAGAGCTCCAAATATTAGCAAAGGATATTTAGACCTTCAAGATGGTATTTTCCATAAAGGGCTTTTAGTGCGTTGGAGTGCAAATGTCTCACTAATCTAATTGCTTTCTACAAATAAAAAAGAAGTGTCTGGCCAGAAGTCCAAGAATATTCTTTTACATCATCCACCATAAGTGGGGAATATACGTAATCGTGAATCACTAGGACTTAAAAAATATTATTGAAGCATATAAGCACATTGGTATGCTACACATTCAAAAATTTATTGTATTTAAAAATTCACACCTTTTGTGCTGTTGTGCCTTCGAAAATTATCCTTCTAAAAATACTCTTTAAAACCCGCGTTCATTCAAAAAAAAAAAAAAATATATATTCTTTAAATATATTACTGGTACGTCAACCGTACTATAGTGTACATTTAAATCTGTTACAACGTTCCTACCTGTTGCAAATTAGTCATCTAATTCATTTACAAATTACTATTTAATGGATTTCCACATTATCGCCATGGAATAACCCATACCTCTCACGAGCAACAGAAAATCATTTGGCTGTAATATTGAGCCATGTTAATTAACAGTGGACATATGTTTTCTATTATACGGGTCGGACAGCAAGCAACGTCTGACTGTTGTGGGTGTGAGTACAACACATACGGCTGTCATATGTTAACATACAATGTGAGATATCTCACACAGAGTGAGTGTAACGATCGATCCATAAAAATGAACTGAGAGCAGTGCTGCCAGTTAAATTTCATAAAAAATCGTCAATTTTTCAGAAAAAAATCGGCATAATCGGCATTTGTATTTTTAAAAATCGGCAAAAAATCGGCAGCATATAATTTATAAATAAATTCATATTTTTTTTGGTTTATAACAAATCAATATTGTTTATTACATTAAAAAAAGATAACAAATTCAATTCTGTATAAAAAAAATAACATAAAAGATTAATTTTTCTACAAAAAATGTAGATTTTTCTAAAATATAGTAATTATTATGTACACTAGTGAGATCTTTCAGATTTACGTATAACACAGTGTGGTATTAAGGTCATAAAAATAAATTACAAACTAGTACATATTTTTATTACAAATTTTTAGTATTTCATTATCAACAATTTGAATTATTTAGTTTGAGGTAATATTAAGAATAAAGAATCCCTTCCAATGAATCATTCTCAAGTGAGCTTCTAATTTTAGTTTTGTTAAGGTTTACCTGACTAAAAATTCGTTCCACATTTGCTGTGGAGTGTGGAAGAACCATAATTCTTTGTACAAATTTAGACAAAACTGGAAAAGCTAAATTGGAGTCCCCACGTTTAATTTCGGAAATTTTTTTCCGAAAAAAATTTTAAATTATATTCTGCATGTTCAAAAATTTCTTCAAAATTCAGAAAGTTTAACTCCCTAAACTCGGAGTCTAAAGATTATTCGATGTAAAATGTAAACTAGACAGAGTACAATTCTGACAAAAAATGCAGATATCTAAGCCATTGAAAACGGCTGCGGCGAGTCGCCGATAATGATTTAAAGCTGTCAATTTTATATGTTTGTATGGTTACGCCGTATTAAATTAAAAAGTTAGACAATTTGTGTCGATTGTTGAAATATCGGCAATTCTGAGGCAAAAATCGGAAAATCGGTATTTTCCATTGACTTTTTATTTGACTTTTTATTTTTGTAGATAAGATACATTTAAATGTTAAGTGTTGACAACAATTAACATTTGGCAAGTTATTACGTTTGCAACAATCCAAAATATTCGTCGGATACACCATAAAGAATTTATATTCATAATGAAAATCGTTTATATGTTTGATCGATTTGGTCATGTCCGCCTGTAGGTCTTTATAAATCACGACATAAATCGAGATATTTAAGATAGGGCTTTGCACACGTATTGTATTTGACTTAACCCCCTATATAAAGGTCCCGCCCATTTCGGTGTTTTGAAGGTTTTAGTTATTTTATTTTGGTATTCTGGGATTTCGGAGATTGTTGCGATCTATTTACATCTGGTGTGTTTTATGATTGATGAAATATAATCTTAATATATAAAAGAGCTTAGTGTTAAGAGAGTGAGTGACTGACTGACTGTCAGTCACTCACTCTCGCCCAGACGAAACGGCTAAAGCTAGAAGCTTGTAGGTCGTTGTTGGTGTGTAGGCGTGAGATAAGGCTGGGTTTTTGGAAATTCGAACTAGAAAGGTACGAAAAGTACTAAAATGTGCCGAATATGGTACCCTTTGTATTAGGCGAACGGGAAGAGCTAGAATTCTGAAATTTGGAATGTGGGTCACTGATGGAGTGTTAGAAAGATGTACAGAAGGGTCTTTGGAAATTCGACCTATAAGTGTACTAAAAGTACTAAATTTTACTAAGTTTAGTTCTAATTGTATATATATTGAAATTGCATATGAAATACAATTTGGAAATTGGTGTTGATGTGTGGAAATGGTTTAAGTAATTCGTACTTATGTGTATAAAAAGTACAAAATGGTACTAAATTTGGTACTATTTGCATTTAGTTGAGTGTATAGAGATGGAATCCTGAAAATAGGAATTAGGACTACTATTGGAGTACAGGATTGATGTAGCTTTAAAAAATCGTACTTATTACTAAATGGTACTAAATTTGGTGCATGTTGGATTTAGGTGAACAGATAGAGCTGGAGTCTTCAAATTGGGAATTAAAATGATTGTTGGAGTGTAGGATTGAGGTAGTTTAGGAAATTCGTAGCTATTGGTACGAAAGTTACTATATGGTACTGAATTTAGTACAATTTGGATTTTGCTTGAAAGGATAGACCCGGAAGACTGAAATTTGGAATTAAGATTACTGTTGAAGATTGAGCTATAGAGACATCTTTGGAAATTTGTATTTATGTGTACGAAACGTACTAAACAGCACTAGTTTTGGTATAATTTGAACTTTGGCGAACTGAGAGGGAGCTGGAAACCTAAAATTTGGAATAATGGTTGCAATTGGAATATAGAATTGAGATATAATAGCATAGTACTTATGTACACTAAATTGTTTGCATAGTACTTATGTGCACTAAATTGGTACAACTTGATCACGTAGAGCTGGTCTCGAAAATTTTGGAATTAAAATTACTGTTGGAGTGTAGGATTGGCATAGTTTAGGAAATTTTAATGGACTTACGAGTACTATTTGAAAACAGGACTTAGGTACATTTGGAAATTTATACTAATGAGTACCAAAAGTACTAAATTTAGAACAATTTGGACCCTGGTGGAATTAAAATTACTATTAGAGTGTAGGATTGATTTAGTTTTAGAAATTCTTACTTATGAGTATGAAAAGTACTAAATGGCACTAAATTTGGAACAATTTGGAATTGGTTGAATCATGAGATTTTGAATTTAAAATTTAGAATGTGGGTCACTGACGGAAAGTTAGAAAGAAGTGCAAAATGGTTTTTGGTATTAATTGGTACTAAATTTAGCGGTGGTGATAGGTAGTCTCGCAAATATGTACTTATGTGTTCGAAAAGTTCTAAATGGACCTAAATGTGGAACCTGTGCGTTATTGCTAAAATATATAATTGGAATTCTGATCTATTTTAAATCAGTGTAATGGAAATAAGGAAGAGATTTCGGAAAATACTGCTTATGTGTATGAAGAGTACTAAATGGTAATGAACTTAATATTAGATGTAGGTGTAGGGTTGAAATTCAGAACTATAGTACAACAAATTATACAGTATTAACGATTTCCATATGAAATATATATTTTTTATTCCCTTTCCGCATACGAAGTAGCGGGCACTTTGCTAGTAAAATATTATAAGCCAAAGACTCTGTCAGACGACCTCGCTTATAGTTCAGAATTATTTCCAAAACATTCTATTTTTCCAAAATATCCAATACAGCCTCATTAATGGCTGAATCGGTTCCTACAAAATTACGAAGCGATTAGCAGGTCCTCTAGAATTTCTTCTAGATTCGAACTAGTTCGAAAGTGCAGCTTTTTTGGAAATCGAATTAAGCTACGTATGAGGCTTTCATTTGTCCTCAAATGTTTTCCTTCTGCATGTTAAATACAAATGCACACTGACACAAAACCCTGTACCACTGTGTGAAGTTGGGCATAATGAAACAATTTTCTAAGAGTGAAGAGTTCATTGACAATCGAATATTTTATTTGATTTCAATTTCCATATTTAAATCCAATTTACTACATATTTTATGTGATTTATTCCCCCATTAAAATTTAAAAAATATATTGACAACACTGAACTGTTAAAATCGTGTTGTCGTTGCTTCGTCGTTTACATTCGAGATACTTAGCTTGAGATTGAGTATCTATGTAGCTCTCTGACAGAGATTGACAACATATGCCGCGCTGTAGTTGTGTTGTTTTTTTTTTCTTTCTTCTTATTCCCAATGTGGTCGAATGGATTTGTTTTGTTTTTCTTTATTCTTCCTCTTCTTCGATCGAACAACAACACTTAGCGACAATTGTGTATGGGCGACAGACAGCTTCTTCTTCTTTCTAGGGAAACCGAACAGCACAACAGAACAGAACTCATTTTATATATTTTCCAAAATCGAATTTAGTTCAGTTCAGAACTAAAAGTTAAACAGTGAACACAACACAGCGGAATACAAACATAAAAATTATTTGAGAATTTGAATTGAAATAAAAAGAAAATACGTTAAGAAAATTGAAAAAATTGTATTGTTGAAATTATTTTAAATTGAAGAAAGAAAGGAAAAAAAACGAAAGTGAATCACTTGCTAAATTTGTGTTTATTACAAATCAAATCACATTTCTTTTGAATTAAATAATCCAACACAACAAATAAGAAAATAAAAGAAAAACCATCAACCACAAACATCAAAATGCATAGTACCCTGTTGGATGAGGTTTGTAAATATGAATAATCATATTTTTTGTATTTAATATAAAAAGGATATATATTTTTTAATTTATAATAGTGAAATAATTAGAAATGGACAATATTTTTATATTGGAAATTATTTAACAATAAATTCTATTATGTCAATAGACTAATTGGCATATAAAGGATTTTTCTTATTTTGAGAAACTTGAAATGTTCAGTTTTGACGAAGAAAATTAATTAAAAATACAGGCCTTAGCTAGTTTTCGGTCTATATCAAATTCAAGAGGAGTAAATTAAATTATCTTTCACTTTTACCTAAATTTTAATACACAAATTAAATTTTAAATACGAAAAATTAAATTATTTAAATATAAAAATAAATATAGACCCAGCTTGCAGAAAGAACGTAATTTGTATTTTAATTTTGTTTTTGCAAAATAGTCAGGTATAGTCAGGTATTTTAAATATAAAAAAATAATAAATATAAAAAATTAAATAATAAACAAATTACATAAAAATTGAAATTTGAACTATAAAAGTAAATAAATATAGAACCACAGTTAGTACACAGAACTTAAAGACCATTTTTAAAGGTTGTCCATCATTTTTGAGTATTAAAAGGTGGGAAACTTACCTTGGAAATGCTTTTTTCAACATAGGCCGATTCGAAGTGGATCGAAATTAGGATTTTGAGCCTTTTAAGATTTGCCTGTAACAATAAGAAAAAAATTTATGAATTTTCTGTAAAATCCGATTTTTTTTTATTTTGAATTAGAATCTCCACCATAAAATGGAGTTCATATTGAGTGTTCCGTTAACAACACCGCGAAAATTAAAAAAAAAATAATTGTTTTTATACGTTGCTAAAACTCCATGGATGCGGTTTTAAAATATAGCTCCACATAACGGATTTGTGGGTTCTTGAATGGTAAATAAAAACACATTTGCAGACAATTTTCAATATAGGCCCATGTTTCGGGATATGTATATGCAATTTTAGGTATTTTTATGGTCCTAGTCGCATTTTCCATACAATGTTCTGGTATTTTGGTCTGCAGAGTTGTTAGTGGGCATTAAGCTTCTACGCAGAAAATTATAGTTTTTTTTCAAAGTTTTTTTCCAGCTAAAGAGGCTATGATTTGGCATTCAGGTTTCCGTACAATTTTATGGTCCAATACGCTTTTTCCTACTGAGTCGATTGTAACATGGCATTCTATGTTTCTAGGGAGAAAATTATCGATCCACGTTGAACAAAGGTGGCTGGCTGTGATTTGAAATTCAGATTTTTTGTCTATATCTAGACAGGTCCTGCTCAATTTTGGTATTCTTTTGGTCATAAACACACTTTTCAATCGAATTTATTATTATTTGGCATTTCAGGTTTTTGTGTGGAATCTTGTTTTTACCACAGTCATGGTTCGATACAGGCCCAGGTTCGATTAAGGTCCTTACTAAATTTCCAACCAGACGTACTATATTTTTAAGTGGGATAACAATTCTCTGGATAGACAACTTCCAGTGTGGGTCCTTGTTGAACGATTTTAGGTAGTTTAATTATCGCATGTTTATTGCGTAATGAAGAGGAAGGTGTACGGCTAATAATGAAGAAACTATATCAACCACATGCTTTTCAAGAAGTTTTGCATAACCAGATATTAACATTTTCTGAGTAGCTGAATCGTAGACCTCAACTATAAAATGTCCCAAACGAAAAAGTCACACTGTCCTAAAACTTTTCTCAGTAAAATTTTGTGCTCGATAGCCTCACGAGCTCCATCTTTGATTACTTTGGAATGTTAACGTAGACAATATATCTCACATAGCCCCAAAGAAAGAGGCCCGAAGATATTAAATCATTTGATGATCTCTGTGAGGGTAATACGGACAGTTTAGCTTAAGGGGACCCCCTCCCCCATTCTTGGTGTAAAAAATTTCATTTAGTTTTTGAATCGATACTAATTCAAGAATGTCCAAATTTTGACACGTTGCTCTGGGAGTGTATAGCTATCGTATGAACTAGGATAAAGTTAATTGATGAATAACTTCCTTATTTGATCAATACCCTTGGATTCCGATGTTCCAGTGTGCAGTTATCATGCCCGCCATCAAAAATAAGAACCTTTCTTTAATCACTCTTCTCTTTTAAATCGTCAATTATATATGTGTTGTAAACCTTAACAGGCGTTGATATTCATTTACCAGTCCAATGAAAATCTTGAAAATTTAAAATCGAGAAATGGGGGAGGTCCCATTAAAAAAATTGACTTTAGAATTTCGAATAATTTCCGACGTTGTAAATAATCCCCAGCATTAGTTATTGTGTAATGACGTTCGTGGGATGCCCGATTTTGCCACATTGAAATATCGTTTTTAAACCCCATGTTTATTTGGGCTAAATCTAATTTATATTATTTAAAGGCGATTTAGAATTATTCTACTGTCCTCTGTCTGGCTATCTGGTGCACACTATAGCTCTCGAAGGGAATAACCGATATTGCACCAACTTAGCTCATTGTAATATTTCTTCCAAACTTAAATGAAGTTGAATGAAGGAGATAATCAGCCCACTCCTTCTGGTGCTTACTAAATAAAATGGTCTACATTTTGTTGAAAAATAAAATTTTTATACCATGGTATATATTCTCGAAGATAGGTCCAAACGGTACAACGCACAAAGTTTCAACATTTTGAAGATTTGTAAATTGAATATCGAGTGATTAAAGTGTCTAATGACACAAAACATCGCACAGCCTACCAAACCTAAATCAAGTCGGAAGATTGGACACATCTGTCTACTCCTCCTTATCAACATTTATAAAATCTCTAAATTACATATGAAGCGAATGGAGTATCCGATTCAATGCACAACAAAATATTTATATCAAATCTACATTAAATCTGAAGATTTAGGTGTATAGTTTCACCCTAGATGATGGTAAAATTTTTGAAAAAAAAACATACAGCGAATTTTGAATTCCTTGTTGTATAAAGTTAAAAAAAAACCATTGGCTATATATAGCCCATCGCCTCTGGTACCTCTCCGACATCCTGCCACAATTTTGAAAATTAATCATTTAATAAAAAAAGGGATCATTACACTGTGATTCCGTAGACCTCCGCAAACTATCTAAGATATAATTTCAAAAGTCAGTATAAGTGAATATCTCAGCTCTCATCAAAAATATTCTTCTGGCGATAATAATACATTCCATTGTTATATTTTGTACACTTTTCAATATTTGACCCCACCACTCAAACAAATTTTAAATGTTTTCAACACAATATAAATTTAGAAAAAAAAAACATGGTATGGTTCCCAAAAACCAATATTTGTTCTTGTGTAGAACCAAATAAGGAATTAATTTTTTTAATCTCTGGGAAAAGGCCAATGACAAGTGAGTGGGTGGGTATAATAAAAAAAATATACCTAATATTAAAAATAAAAGTCATTAAACCAATTCAACAATCAATGCCTTTGTTAAAAAAAAAAAAAAAAAAAAAAAAAACGAAAAAATAAACCTCTGGTGATGAAAAACGTACCAAGAACAGCCAAACACAAATACTCTGTCAAATAAACAAACAACAATAAAAACAACTAGAACAAAAAATGAAAAGTCGAGGAAAATGCATAAACACTGCGGTACTGGATAGAAATGATGATGATGGTGGTAATGATAATGGCGGGAGAGGCGGAGAATTTCACTGCCTGCAATTCATCGATATTTCTTAAGAATTTATTCGTTTGTTTTTTTTTCTGAAAAAGATTTTTTTCATTGATGCAAAGTCATTAAACGCTCAAAACCATGCCATCAATTTTCCTTTTCGTTCTTTCTTGTTGTTCATCATTCATTTGCTAAATGCCCAAAGATGATTAGCAATTGTTGCTAATAATAAGTATTGATGTGGGAATTGTGCGTTTTCAGCTCTCTGTTCGCATAGATCAGCATTATTTTGAGTGATTTGTTGTGATTTGCCGGGAAATAAATAATTGTGTTGTTGTTTTTTCTTTAAATCCTCATAGAAAATTCTCAAGATTTATGATGGCATTTGTAGCGATTCGAACACAAAAGGTGTAAATGACCACCGGGAAAAGTTAACGCTAATGTCGCAGACCAAAAAAAAGAAAAACAACAAAGATTTTGTCTATCGGAAGATAAATGAATTAGTCGTTTAGTCTAATTTTAATTCGATACGTAATTTTTTTCATACTTACCACGCAAAACACACATCACTAATGATGAACAAGAACAGCAACAACAACCCAAACAACAACAAGAAAAAAACTGTCGTTCACACGCCCCAATCTGTGACAGAACATTAACGATGAGAAAAAGTATAAATGATGCGTTTTGTGGCAAACACATGTAGATGTGTGGACATGTTTTCCCCCTCAAACAAACATAAATTACGAATGGGAATGAAGAAAATGCTCGATTTTTTAGTTTTTTTTTACCCCCGCAAAGGTTAGACATTTTTGATTGTTTATTTAATTTGTCTGCATTGCAGGTGAATGAGTTTGTCTGTTTCTTTTTTGTGGGGAGTGGCACAATGTTTATATTTTATATTTAAAGAAAAAAATATATAAAATTTAAAATCAGAACTTATGATATTGGAAATGTGAGTAATAAAATGAAAATTCTGGAAAAAAGGAATAATAACTTTATTTTTATGGATTAATGTGAAACATATATGAGGAAAGAAGTAACTAGAAGAAGTAAAAATGTCGCTGAGTTCGCCGATTCCACCATGAAGTGGGCATTCAAAATACTTAAAATAGATTGCTGCCAGGATAAAACTAAATACAAACCCATTGAACATACCGAAAATGATATGTGGCTCTTGTTTGGATTTATATTGAAAATGTACCCAAGAACATCCAGTAATGATAAAATATAGTAAATTCGGTTAGAATAAACGCATAGAGCAATATAGATACATATAAAAGGATTAAATTGGGGATATTGGGGATTGATATGGGGATATGCCAAAAAAAGACTGATATTTTTAATTTTCGATACCCTT